GCATGGTCGTTTACCGTGGTCATCGCCGCGCGTCGACGTGATCTCGGTATTCGGAGCGTCACTCTTGTCGCCCCCTTCCCCGCCCTGCCCTGCCCCGCCCGACGACTTAGTCGCCGTCGGTCCCACGGGGCCATCCTTTGAGGATGGGCGGTAATTGGCGAGAATGTTGTCGTCATTAGACCCTGTCAATTTGATATTAATTGGGAATCCATTCTCAGGGGCGCCCGGCTTAGCCGGGCCCTCCAGGGCAGGACCGGGAACAGTAAAGTTGTCGCGCAACAACGGCCTCACAAGAGTGTCTCGCGAAAGCAACGGCAAATCACATGAACTCGACGTGGGCCCTTTTCCTTGTTTATTTCCAGCATACGGAGTCGGATTCGTGATGATAGCTTAAGCCTCGTCGTTCCTTTCTCTGGCTCAGCTGCGTTCGCCGTGGCCTCTTCTTCTCGCGCGTTGGCGGCTGACCTTTCACTCCCCCGTGAAACACACCAGGAACATCTTCCAGTGCTCGCATCGAAATGATCTTTACAAGCGGGCAAGCCACAGCCAGCGCAATTACCCGTCCTCGGGCGAGAGCAAATCGAACAAAACTGTGCCGCTATGGAACTCTCTGCTTGAGTTTCTCCCCTTTCTGCGGGTGGAAACTGCGCTACCGCCCTCGCCAGCAGGGTCAACGATCCCGCGTTTGCTACACTTGTCAAGTCGGACTGGAATGGAACGGATGCAGCGCCAGACGACTGAGCCGCTGACAATACATGTATGTTCGCCCCAGTCGGCTGAGCCGGCGGGCATCTAGCATTGCTCGATTGCACGCGCTGCAGGGATGTTCTGGCTTCTTCATGCGATCTAAGTTCTTCCAAATATTGATTGTTCTGGTCGGCTGTCTTCGCAGCTACAACTTGGGTGTTAATCGCTTCCAGCCTGGCATTTTAAGCTCTTATTGTAAGGTCTGCTTTTCTCGTTCCGCCCTGACTGTAGCGATTTGTTATCCTTCTACTCTAGCCACCGCAACAGCCGCGGTGACCGTTTCGGTATTAACAGACTGATTAGTTGCCGCCGCAACGGCCTGCCTGTCGTTCCGAAGCCAACATTTCAATGCATCTGCTTTCGGCGTCTATCTCCGCCTGCCGCTTAGCGGCCGCGGTCCGATGATAGATTTGTTCCACCAGTTCTTGTTCTCGCTCTCTAGTGGCCATAGATAGGGCGAATCTTTCAGCCTCTAACGTCTTCCGAACTTCTGCCATGGTTGCTGTCATCTCCTCTCGATCCAGAAGGGCCCTTTCGGCCAACTGTGCTTCGCTGGCGAGGAAGTCCCGCTGGGTGTCAGCCTCAGCTAGCCTAGCCTGATCCTGAATAGCTTGCATGAGAAGATCTGTACAATTGTGCTCGCCCATAGGACAGCACTCTATACACAACCATTGAACACTACACTTGGGGCATACATCAGAGCAGCTCTTACAAGCTGGATGTCTACATGCACCTTCTGGCCTGTCAGCTTTACCTGGGCATCTGCTTTCCGCCTGAGGCGCGCAGATCAGGTTTGGGTTCCAGCATGCCTCCATTATGGAGATGGTACTGTTGCTCCTTGAAGTAGATCTCGCCCCTGATCTGGGTGTTTTGGGTCTTCCCCTACTAGACGTACTTTAGCTGGGGCGCGCGAACGCACTTGTTCGGGGTTTCGGTATCTCTAGGATTTCCTCATCCCTCTCGTCCTGGCTAAGCTCAGAGTACGAAGCTGGTTGCCCAATCATTTCTCCATCCTCAACAACAGCTGGTATCGAGGGTTGCCAATCGCCTGAGGCGACGGCAGGACGATAGAAACCTTCTTTTAGTGGTGAGTCGTTTAAATCATAATCCTCGTTTCTCTGCTTCTTGAGTTGAGGTGCAGGAGTTCGTCCTGTTGGCTCCCTGTCATGCTTCGCCTGAGTCTCATTCCTGTCCGCCTGAGGCGTCAGGATACTGGTATATTCATCAGATCCATCTGGGGACCACCTCTCGCCTTGGGCGGGGTGGTCTTCTTCCACCAGCAATGACAATTCTCGGCTCAGAGAGATTCCTCTGTTGATGTTGTCAAACTATTCCTCCATTTTTTTTGTCATGCTCTTTGTCAATCGGATAATCACTGTCTTGACCGAACTGTCCATTTAATGCGATTGGGATGGGAACATCTCTATTCGTACCTGCCCATTCGCCTGGGACGCTGGGGTACATGCCTGCGTTCTCATGGGCTTCCCCTTGCCGACTGGTTTCGCCAGTGGCAGGCGCGATTGTATGTGTAGCATTCGGAATCGGGCTGATTGACGCCGTCGACTTGGCACTACAAGACGAGAACGCACTTCGTCTAGGTCTCGCTGTTATGCCCTTTCGTCCATACGGGTCTGGGGTTTGTTCCCGATTGCCAATCGGACTTCCAGAGGGAGATACATCTACTGACATCTCTACCACTCCTTCACTGCTCCTACCCCTAGATGCCCGAATGGCGCTATTGGAAGGATGAATGCGGCCCTGGCTAGGACCGCTCTCGTTGATGTCGTATCCGTCATGTTGTACAACATACTGACCTGCGCTTCGCGAAACGACGGACACGTCATCTGTCTTATCACAGCTCATTCCCGCAGCGACTAAGTCGAGGGGTTCATCCGAAATTCTTGCTTTTGGGTGAGATGATCCCGCGTCGACTAAGTCGCGCGTTTCGGCTGATAACCAGTCTTTCCTCTGAGAACCGGGGTAAGATGCCAAAAGAATTAAGGTCTCATGTTCACTCTGCTCAGGGAGAGAAGAGACGGGATGAGACATTGATAAGACAAGTATCCGGTAAGCAAGTTTACTATATCAGGAATGTGAAGGGAGGAGGCCGGCTGGCCTACGACCGACGACAGGCGACGGCCGCGGGCTGGCGCGCTCCTTTTCTCTCCTGCAAACAAACGAAGGCTTGCTTGAGTAAACAAACAGCTGCAATATGCAGCGCAAGTTCAAGTCCGACAGTGCACAGCATGCAAGTATGTTTATAAGTGATATTATTATGAGGCGGAGAGGAGTAGATTTACTCTCCTCCCGATGCGTCTCCCGCGCCTCGCTCCTGCCCTTCCCAAGCCTCCCCTCGCTTCCCATCCCACGCTTCCCTCCCTGCCTTTCCCTTTTCCTGCCTCGCACTCCGATAAGCTCCAAGAAAAGCAGCAAAAGGCCCCCGACATCACTTCGCAGCACCCCGCAATTGCGTGTACGAGGAAGGGGTCGGTGGGGTCGGCGGCAGTCTGCGAGGCTCTGAAGAAGCCCACCGCAGGCGCGGGTTTTTTCGCACGCTACACACGAAACTGCCGCATGCGCCGATATCTTCGTCAAAACAGCCTGGGTGGGTCGCGGGTAGGCCAGTCGCGGAGAGGGTCGCAGGTAAAGGACGGGTGAGACGCGGACGAGAGCAACAACAATAATCACAACAACGACGACAACAACGACGACGACAACAACAACCACAACAACAACTACACCACCAACAGCAACAACAACAACCGCAACAACAACAGCAATAACAACAGCCACAACAACAACAACAAAAACAGCAGCAACAACATTAACAACAACAGCAGCAACAACATCAACAACAACATAAGCTACAACAACAACAAGAACAATAACAACCACAGCAACAACAACAACAACAACCGCACCACCACCACCACCAACGACACCAATTCCCAGGAGCCGGGGGCGAGAGAAAAAATGCAAATGAGGAATACATCTGGTCTCAAATCCAACCTCGTCCGGGCGAGCTGCAGGATCCGGGGGCGAGACGAGAGGATGAAAATGAGAAAAACATCCGGTCTCAAATGCAACCTCGCCCGGGCGAGCTGCAGGCTGACTGCGTCAGATGAGATGTATCATTTACGAGTGCGAGCGTAGCTCTTCCGTATTTTTCGGGGGCCCAAGCCATTCTTGCAGGGTGTGTGTGTGTGCCCTACGAGGCGTTCGTAGGCGCGGACCTGGCCTCTTCCTGGTGGGACCAGGAACTGCATCGTGATTGAGTGAATGAAAATCAAGCAGGCGATCATCGATCTCTTGTTAATTCGCGCGAACCAAACACAATCTCTTAGTGGCATCCAGCTTCGGCAACGGGCTACTGAGTCTTAACTCCTTCTCTCTCGCGCGCAACACCAAAGGAACCGAGTTTTGGCGAGATTCGGATCAATAGTTCAGCTGTGTTTCAGCAGCTTCAACCACAACTTAGTCGAGTACCCCGTGGATTTGTGCGACTTCATCTTTGGATATGGCTGGACATCGCATGGCAAGTTCGCAACCGACCAACCAGGGATGGCGAGGAGCGCCCCTCCCTCGACGCAATCTCGGAGGTGCATTACAGTGGCCCACTATGACTGGGCCAGCAGGCCGCGCGGCAAGCGCAAGGGTACAACCGCTTTTGCTTCTGCTGGAGCACCCCTCCGAGACCTCGTACACCAACACCGTCCAGCAGCTCTGGGACATGAGTTACCAAAGGACTTGGCGGCCCTGCAGCTTTGCTACGGCATCCCTGTGGAACATTTGTTTCCAGATCGACTGCGAGGAGGCCAACGCGGCAGACTTCTGCAACAGCGTTTGCTTGCCCATGCTTCAACAACATCTGGTTTTTTGCCGAGTTGCACATGCGCTCCGAGTTCACCGCCGCATGCCTCGGTGGTTCGGCCGCTTCTTGCGCGCGGCTCCATCGGCAGTGCGCTACGAGATTACCCAGCCACGATCAAAGTGTGAAGTGTTCGTAAGAGCAATTATCGACGAGACTCTCGAATACCCGGTGGAATCAGTTCTGCATTGTTTACACAATCACGCATCGCAGTACCTTGGGAAAGCGAACTACAACCGAGCCCGTGGACGCCCAAGATATGGATCGTCAAGCATCGGTGTGTACGGACACGCGCGATGCCCGACTACCTCGGTTCACGCTTCTCAAAGGCAGTCTTGGCAGCGTAAGCATGATTCCTTTCATGGCTTGCGAGCGCGAGTCCCAGGCATATGCCTTGGAAGGGCTCCTGGTCAAGGCTACCAAGCCTGACGGGAACAATGCCGACTTCGATGTATTTCTCGCGGCGCAGCGGAAGGCCAAAATATCTCGCCGGAACGAGGACTCCCTGGAGAAGACCTCCGCGAGCATTGCGAGTAGCTTCATCGGGATGCCAGTCAATGTGGACCTCGGGGTGCTCCGCAAAGCAGTGGACAAGAGGCTGACCGCGAAACAGCAGCTGGCAGGTGAAGACGCACCAGAAGTGGGGCAATTTCCTGTACTTCCATATGGCAACAAGTATCGTCGCATTCAACAAGCACAGCAAGCCGTGGACGCCACAACGAGACCTGTCTATACATTTGCCAACTTTGGAATGTTTTTGGCTTATTGTGCAGCCCAGTCTACATGGATTCGTCCACCAGCATCCTGGGACAAGCAGCGTGCGGGGGAAGGGCTTTATGGAGCAGGTCAGCAGATTTCCAAATTCGTCAGGGGCGCGGGGGCTCAGATTTCTGCCCGCCGCAATCTGGAATGGCTCCTGCAGCAGTACAAACTCCCGCCGCTCACGTTCCCCACGCTGTTCATCGACGGCAGTCTCCACTGGCAAGTTCCTGTTCTTGCACGTTTCTTGTCCAACTTGCTCGACGCTGTCAGGGCGCTGGTTGCCAGATTTTGGATCGGCAAGCAGTTCTCGGTTCAGGCCACGCACGTGAAAACGTGGAAGGAGCACTTCGATTGCAAGAAGGTCCTCGGCAAGCTTCCCACCGTCAAATCGGAGGGCCGCCCCTTAGGTGGGCTGGGGCATGGAGCTCATCGCCCTGACCTGTACGCCATCGACGCCTTGTGGTCGGGCAGTACCCGCGCGGAGTGGACATGCGCGGCGAGGTGCTGGACTCATGGAGCCTGTGGTGTCAGCGAGTTCGAGTCCACCCCAGAATTCACCGACGTGCCCGAGGTTTCCTGCGGCGCTTCTTCCAGGACTACGAACACCGCAAGCAGCTGAGGCAATGGACGCAGTTGGAAGCACCCATGCGCCTGGCGTGCGCACAGCGCAAAACAGCAGGGCGAGCGCTGATGAAAGACGACAGGCATCCTGCTCGGGCATGGTCCATCCGCCAAGAAGACCTTCAGGCGCACCTCTTATACCAGTGCACCTCCGACACGCAATGGAAGTTCATGCTGGACCTCGGCATCAAGGACGCGTTCGAGTGGATGGAGGTCCGCGCCAACGTGGGTTTCCCAAGCTTTCTGAAGCGTTGGCCGCGGCCGCGGCTTCCTGGGCAGAGAATTGGGATGCCGCGACCCTTTAATTTCTAAAGTCGAAATGCTTCAGCGCCACAGGCCGCCGCACATGCATTAAGAGGTTGGTCATGCGTGCTGGAGGCGAGTCATTGACATGTGCGAGGTGATCCACGCCAAGGGCTGGCAGATCATCGCCCGCGCCGCTCGCGACGCCACCCCGGCGCTGCCCAGATCCAAAGCGGTCGCAAACATGAGCCAGGTGCGGCAGGCGATCATCGACATGCAGGCCGAGATCCAGTCGCCGCTGCCATCGCAGCGGCTCGCCGACATCAACATCGAGTGCTTGGCGTGCAAACAGGCCATGAGCCCTTGCGTGCACGCCACCACCAGGGACATTGACCAAGCCGTCGAAGCAAGCGAGGCTAGCCGCGTCAAGGCAACATGGCTGAGAAGTGAGGCCCGTTACCCGGCAATCTTCAAGCAGCTCGCGCTCCTAGTTCGCCGAGGAAAAACGTGTCGCACCAGCCATGGGCGCACATCGTTCGGCAGGGGGCGGTATTCTATCAGGCTAGAAGACATCCACAAAGTCCTCGTAGCTTCCAGCATGCTCTCACTAGTGGCCTCGGGGACTCTCATTTTCTGGACTCGTGGGATCTCGATTGGCGGGACTCTCAGCTGCACAGCAGTAGGAGTGTATCTTGGAGACCAAGAGTTTCAAGGTTGGATTCGTTTGTCTGAAGATGGCGGTCGTGACTATGGACTCGGTGGATCCCCTCTCGAAGAAAGCTTGTCTTGGTGGCGGTACGTAGACGACATCCTTGCGGGGTCCTTCAGAGTCTGCTCGGAGTGCCAGGCCAATGTTGTACGATCGACTTTTGCAGAGCAGCTCTCGACGATTTACACGACGCCCAGAATCTTGACACCATAAATCTGGAGTATGTTTGATTGGCTACATGTTACCCTAGGGATATCGATGGACGGCCTGTTCTGGATTCAGAAGAACGCCAATCGGGAATGGCTTCGAAACCCATGACCTCCTGAAGACACGCCCCGTCCGATTGCTCATCCCTGGCCTGGAACCCTGAGAGTCTCCGGGAGATTATGATGGGCAGGCTTGCTAGGGCATTCTCGTGGTGCATGGATCCCATCATGGAGTTCCTTGTACTTATGGAGATCATTATCGAACTTGCTCTCACAGATTACCCGAAATTAGTCTTTCGGGCATTGGTGCAAGAGATGCCCGCGATTCCCGCGGCGCGCACGGCTCGAGTCATCCTCCGAAAGTGGATGCGCGTAGGGGCATGGAGCACAGCAGCCACCCCGTTGCCAAGCATGGGCAAAGGCAACGGTAGTCAAAGACCATGGAACACTATTTTGGGCGCAAGGATCAACGTGATCACCGCAGTGGGTCTCGAGGGAATTCTTCGCATGGTGGCCACTACTGGCAGCCGTCCCACTACCGCCGGTCGTCCAAGCACCGCTCCCGCTCGTCGAGTTCAACATCCTCGAGCTCTACCAACGCCAAGAAGGTGGCCACCGCCCAGAAGACCCTCAAGATGCTAGACCCCTAGTACAAGCGCATGGTCGAGGCGGATGCCGAGGCGAAGCGCTCGGAGGAGGCGAAAAAGCACGGCGACGCGCTCATGGTCACCGTACCCGAGCAGTTCGACAACTACATCGCCACGGCCAGGGATCAGCTCATGGCTGACCTCCCGAAGGCAGCCGGGCACCGCGGGCAGTCTTCAAAGTGTCGCTCGCAGCGCCGCTCCCCGCGCCGCTCCTCGCGTTCGCCGCGCCAGAGGTCCAGGAACGAGGACAGGGACAGGTCCAGGGTCAGGCGCCGCGGCAAGAACAAGAACAGGGGGCAGAACCAGGACGAGGAAGCCGAACAACCGGCCGAGCCCGCCCCGCCCGCAGCGGGCACGGGCGGCGGAGCGGCGGCGGCAGCAGCAAGTGGCAGCGTCGCGGCGATGCCGACACCTCGGCGCCACACGTACAAGCATTCGACGGTGGGGACGGCACCAGCCATGCAGGGCCTGACGACGACCCGGATGCGCCTGGCTAATTCCGAACTCAAGGGCCACATGAAGTTCCTGAACGGCGGCTTCGAGCACTTCCGGACGATCATGCTGGCGAAGTGGGTGGACGCGGCCCCGTCGACCCAGACGTTCGTCAAGCGCATGGACGAGATCTTCAAGGAATACCCGTCCGAGCTTGAGATCCCCCGCAACAAGGAGGAGCTCATCAAGGCCATCTTCCAGTTGTTCGCCAATGGGAACTGAAAGGGGCATGATGACTCCGAGGAGCCATCGCAAGTTCCTGAAAACGAAGATGGACATTCAAAGTACCTGTCCAAGGCTGGGCTCGAACATGGACTTCTTGGGTGGTCGCTCATATTCAACGTCATCAATGGCGTATCCCTTGGGGTTGTGCTTGGCTACGTGGTCGGATATTATTGCGGGTGGAATAATGCCACTTGGTATCACTGGCTGAACTGGAATTACGACAAGGCGTATCAAAACTATTTGGAGTATCAGCATCGTGTCGGAGGATACTCATACAATCATCCCTCTTCCTCGCCGTGGGCTCAGTATCCAGACTGCGGCCAACAGTACGGATACCATTAGAACCACGGCCACTGGCGGCCTCTGGCCAATTCATCAGCGCGCGGTTGGGAACCAGGAGGGCCGAGCACCATGGACGTGGCCATCCCCTACGTCGTACCGACTGTCGTCCAGATGCTCACGATCGGGGGCCTCACGTCATTGGCCAGGGTCGGCCGCAGGCTCCGAGGAGGGTGACGTGTTGTCCGAACGCCCCATCTGTGACCAGCAGGGCTGAGGCGACGTGACGCGGGTCTTGGGCCGCTGAAGGCCTTGACCCTGTTGCGCTACACAGATGCCAGCGCAATGGGCAACAACGATTCCCAGGAGCCGGGGGCGAGCTGGTCTCAAATGCAACCTCGTCCGAGCGAGCTGCAGGCTCTGGGGGCGAGACGAGAGGATGCAGATGAGGAATACATCCGGTCTCAAATGCAACCTCGTCCAAGCGAGCTGCAGGCTGACTGCGTCAGATGAGATGTATCAGTTGCGAGTGCTAGCATAGCCCCTCCGTATTTTTTGGCCTTAAGCCACTATTGCAGGGTATGCCCCACGAGGTGCTCGTAGGCACGGACCTGGCCTCTTCCTGGCGGGACAAGGAACTGCATCGTGATCGAGTGAGTGGAAAACAAGCAGATGGTTATCTATCTCTTGCTGATTCGCGCGAACCAAACAACAAAACCACCACCGCCACCACAAACAACAACAAGCAGTAACAAACATGCAGAATCCGGGCCACGGAGTCCCACTTCAGCCATGCACCCAGGGATGATGTGAGACCGTTCGGCCCCGTCACTCTGACAAGAGGGCCTCCAAGAGCCCCTCAGATCACTTCAAGCGCCCTCTGTGTTCGAGGCTGCCCAGGATGATCCTAGCTTCGGTTTGACTGGATCCCCGAGTGCAATCTCGCAACCACTTTCTGCACAGGCTCATGAGCGCGTGATGCAAGGGCGGTGCTGGCACGGCCAGACCGATGACACTGCGAAAGTGAACTACATGCTTGTGTGTTTGGTCATACATGTGTTGGAGAGGGAATTGAAGAAGACACCAAAAAATCGACGATCCACATACCACAAGGTACTCTGCGGCCAGAATCAAATCAGCACTCAGCACTCGCGAACTTGAGCAACATCTGCATTGCGAGCGGCAGCGTATCATTTGATGCACGATGCCCGCCGCGGAAGCGCGAGGCCCTGGACGTCTCACATGGGGATGCCTGTCGCCTTGCTGGGAATCGCCGAAGTGCAACGAGCCTCGCGGCGGGGCGGCGCGGGTCGCGACCCTCTTCGAGCCTTTTGGAGGGGGGGCGAGGGGTAGGCGTCGCGGAAAAGACCAGTCATAGATATACCGGGCCACTTCCTCCTTCTCGGCATCGCCTCGACGCCATCATCACAATCATCATC